GCTGGGACATAAAAAGCACTACCCATAAAAGGCATAGGCACAAACGCACAGACCCAGCAGTAGCTCCTGACCAGGGAGAAGAGTGAGCCCCACAAGCCTAGGAACTAGGGACCAGGGAGGCAGAGTAGGGACTCCCCAGTACAGTCTCAGGGCTCCAGGACCAGAGAATTATTTGGAGATCAACACTGGAGTCCACAAATCCTAATTCTGAATTGTGCAACCTGTCCCCTGATAGTTACTTAACTTTGTTTTCAGCTTCCTTCACCTACTTCTTCGATTCCGGAAGCCTTCTGGATCCTTCGCTAAAGCTGCTTTCCAGATATCTTGTAGAGCTGGCAGCAGGGCTGGGCAGCAGAGGGACTTCACACATTCTGTGTGGCACACAGTGGGAGTCACAGCGAGGCCCTGTTCCCGCTCCAGCTCTATACAAGGGAAACTTTTGAACTGTTAAAAATAACCAGTACAGGGGCACCTGGGTGGCTCAGTGGGTTAAAGCCTCTGCTTTCAGCTCAGGTCATGATCCCAGGGTCCTGGGATCGAGCCCCGCATCGGGCTCTCTGCTCAGCGGGGAGCCTGCTTCCCCCTCTCTCTCTGCCTGCCTCTCTGCCTACTTGTGATCTCTCTCTGTCAAATAAATAAATAAATAATCTTAAAAAAAAAAAAATAACCAGCACAGAAATGCATGGCTTCTGGAAGCAGTAAGCTTCCCATTATCAGAGGTGTACAAACTGTTCTGTACAGGCATGAGCTCAAGAAATGGGGTCTGTTTTTATTATTATTAATTTAGGGTGGGTTTTTTTTTTTAAGTTTGTTTTTAGTAATCTCTATATCCAATGTGGGGCCCAGACTCATGATCTCTAGATCAAGAGACACATCCACTACTTCTTCTTCTTCTTTTTTTTTTTTTTAAGATTTTATTTATTTGACAGAGAGACAGCGAGAGAGAGAGAGAGAGAGAGAGGGAACACAAACAGGGGGAGTGGGAGAGGAAGAAGCAGGCTCCCTGATGAGCAGGGAGCCTGATGTGGGACTCGATCCCAGGACCCAGGGATCATGACCTGAGCCCAAGGCAGATGCTTATCCCACTGAGCCAGCCAGGCACCCCTAATTTAAGGGTTTTAAGCCTTAGAGCATTTAGAAGGGAAGGCACAGATGAGAGAAGGAAGTGAACAGAAGCTAGTAACTATGATGGGCTCCAATAAAGTATTCTCTTTTTAAACTGAAATAAGAGGGGCCTGGCTGGCTCAGTTGGTAGAGGCCGTGACTCTGGATCTCAGGGTTGTGAGTTCAGGCCCCACGTTGGATATGGAGCCTACTTAGTAAATAAATAAATAAACCAAAATGAAAGTGGACAATTCTTTAAGGCCTAATTGGACAAGAAGGGGCAGGAGGGTTCCTCTTCAGCTGGACATCAGAGTTATCCCTCTTAAAAATCTGCCTGTGCAAAGTGACTAGGTGTCCAAATTCAGGGTCCATGAGTAGGTGTTTGTAAGTATTTGATCTCCATTTTTGCTGAGAGAATTGGAGGCTCAGAGAGGTTAAGCAATTTGTCCACAATCACACTGCAGCTGAGTGACCAAGGGAACATTGGTAAAACCAATTGTCGGGGTGCCTGGGTGGCTCAGCGGTTTTAGAGCCTCTGCTTTTGGCTCAGGTCATGGTCCCAGGGTCCTGGGATTGAGCCCCACATCAAGCCCCACATCGGGCTCTCTGCTCAGCAGGGAGCCTGCTTCCTCCTCTCTGCCTGCGTCTCTGCCTACTTGTGATCTCTGTCTGCCAAATAAATAAATAAAATCTTAAAAAACAACCAACCAATTGTCAAAGACTAAAAGTCCTTAAAAACTAAGGCCCATCTAGTTCTGTGGTTCTCAAACTCTGCCTGAGTTTTATACAAGTTTTATACAAAACTTTTATACAAAAGTATAAACTTAAAACTCAGTCCCAGGATCCTGGGATCCTGACCTGAGCCGAAGGCAGAAGCTTAACTGACTGAGCCCCCCAGGCACCCCTGGTAAGTACTACTGAAGTGATAGCTTTTTTCACCTGATGTTATGGGGAGCTTGCTACCCATCTCCAAAGGCAGCTCAGGCCATCTTTGGTCAGCTCCAGGCTGTGCCCATTAGCCACAGTGATGGGGCGGGTTGCATCAACCCTCTCAGTCGGATCTGCATACGCTCACGCACAGAATTGATTGAAAAATTCTATTTGGGGGCGCCTGGGTGGCTCAGTTGTTAAGTGTCTGCCTTCTGCTCAAGTCAGGATCCCAGGATCCTGGGATCAAGCCCCACATAGGGCTCTCTGCTTAGTGGAAAGCCTGCTTCTCCCTCTCCCTCTGCCACTCCCCCTGCTTGTGTTCCTTCTCTCTCTGTATCTCTCTCTGTGAAACGAATAAATAAAATCTTAAAAAAAAATTATATTTGTCTTTTTGGGATATAAAGCTCCCAAAGGCTGAGAGCACACTCCCTGGCCACTAGAGGGAGCTGTACGTGGTATTTGGAGGCACTGCCCGGATGGGCCGCTGGGGTTCCAAACCTGACTCTCCAATGGTTAGTTTGGGATGAAGTTGGTGCCTCTCAAGTCCCAGCTGGTTCTAACAAGGGTGGGGAAAGGTTACTAACCACAGGTCCTTCCAGGCTCTAGGACCTAGGGCCGGAAGCAGGAATTGCCCAGATGCCTCCCCTCCAAGTCTGGATAATATATATTTTTTCCGGCTCTGTGCATATGGTAGGATTCAAACCCCAGAGATTTAGAAGGGGGGGGGGGGAGTGGCATGATGGAGGAGTCGGAGAAAGGAAACTTGGCTTCTTTCCAGCCCCCAGAGCCCCCTGCTGAGCTGCCCCTCCCGGATGCCATTGTTCCTTCTAAATCAGCAAATCTCTCCTTCCAGCTTCCAGCCTCTTCTTCCTCTTTCAGACCTGGCCTCTCTCCGGCCCAATCAGCTTCCAAATGTTGTGTGGACACAATTTTGTGTGAGCAAGGATTCCTCAGACCCAAGCCCATTTCATTATCTTATTCATTGCGCGTGCTTTATATGGGAGTTCCTGGTGTGCCTAACCCCCTGAGAGCTCATGGGATGTTGGAGAAGTGATTTAAAAAGACAGGAACTTTGCTCTCAGGGTGCTCATCGCTTGGGGTATAGGGACATGGGCAAACAGGTCAATATATAAACTAGGTGATTTCAGATACTGTGATAATCAGAACTACAAAAGAAATAAGACAGGGTGAGGTGATAGAATGTGAAATGGGGATACTTTGGACAGAAAGGGAAGGTCTCTTTTTGGAGATGGTATTTGAACACACTTGGTTAAGTAGAAGGAGTAACGAGTACAAAGGCCATCCAAGAAACAAGCCCAGTGAGGGAAGATTTCAAATTCCAACTTGCCTAGTCTTCATAAAAACTCCCAAAAAGTCCTCTGAGGAATCCCATGGACTTTGGGGAGGAAGGGGCCTTCAAGTTTATTCCATAACGTGGGGGGAGTGGAGGCGCGCTCTCTAGTGGTGATAAGAGTTAAATTTCACCATCGCTGACCTGGAACGCCTCATGCTTCTGATTTGACTGGGCTAATTACGAGTTTCACTCATTCCTGTCTCTCCCACACTTATTCATTCAACAGATGCTTACTGAACGCAGCCTATGTGCCAAGCTCTATTCTAGATACTGGTAGAGTTGTGAAACCGCCAGTAAATGTCCCTGCCCCCTCTGGAGCTCATATTCTAAGGGACAGTCCTAAGCCTCGTACTCTAACCCCACCTCACCTCTGCCCTCCACTAGTCCCCCAGCTAAATCGCCATCCTAATGCTCCAGCAGCAAGATACTGCTGCGTCAGGGTCTTTGCACTCTCCGTTCCCTTCCCCTGGAAGGCAGTTTCCTGGCTCTTTGCGTCGCTGGTTCAGGTCTCATCTCAGATGTGACCAAGTCAGAAAAGTGTAAACTTATTTATTTATTGCCTATTGTCCCCACTAAAATATAAGAGTCCATGAAGGTTACTGTTTTCCCAGAATCCCTTAGCCTCGCACTTTTAAAAGGTTCTCAGTAAACACTTGCCGAATGGGTCTGAACATTCATTCATTCAAAAAATATTGGGGCTATTACACAGCAAACGCTGATGAACCATTACGTGAACAACCTGAACAAAACAGACCCAAAAAATCCGTCCAGAGCATTCTAAAAGTAAAATTACAACCCCCACGGGGCGCCTGTGTGGCCCAGTCTGTTAGGCATCTGACTCTTGGTTTCCATAGGGTGGTGAACTCAGGATCGTGAGATCGAGGCCCCTGTTAGGCTCCACGCTCAGCTCTGAGTCGGCTTGGGACTCTCTTTCCTTCCGCCCTTCGCCCCCTGTGCGCTCTCTCTCAGATAAGTAAGTCTTTACCAATTGCAACCCCTGCACTACTCACCCTCATTAGCCTGCTTTATTTTTCCTACACATTTATCACCTAAACTATTAAAATTTACTCCACGAATGCAGAGGATTTTGTCCTGGGGATCTTGACCACCACGCCCCTCTCAGCGATCAGAACAGTGTCGGCATCAGGTCATTGCTGGGTGAAGCACAGACTGAACGAACTCTGGATCTCAGCCTGCTCTATCCCCCCAGACCTTCAGCCACATGGTTTCAAGGGGGAATGGGCCTCAGGAGGAGCCAAGAAGTGACCTCAGGCGGCCCGACCCAGGAGCCCGAGCTCCGGGCGAAGGGCCATCGGAGCAGCTGAGGAGTGGGGAGGCGCTAGTAGCCAGGAGCCGAGCTAGGGCCTGGGGGCCTGGAGAGTTTCCAGGAAGAGCCGAGAGGGATCGCTGAGCGTCGCCCGAGACGGTGGGCGGTGCCGACCGAGGATAGGAGTCACATGACTCGCCCGTGCACCGCCCACCTCCTCGTGGGCGGGGTGTTAGGAAGGGGCCGGGGCACATGCTAATCAACCCCAGGCGGCGGCCAATCGTGGCGCGCGCCGAGGGTCCCGGCTGGGGGATCTTGGACGCGGGCTAGCGCGCAGGCTCGCGTCCGGGCGGCCCCCGGCTTTTGCGAGCGGCGCGGCGGGCCTGCGAGCTGGAGTTGCAGCCGCTTCCTCGACCTCCTTCTCGTGTTCGGCGGCCGGCCCGGTAAAGCCCGGCCCGCGCAGCGGGCAGGCGGCGGCTGCCTCAGGCGGAGGCGGAGGTGCGGCGGAGGGTGGGGGCCGCTCCCTTCGCAGGAGCCCGGGCCGGCCCGCGCCTTTGCACCGTGCTCCATGCATCCGGAGCCCGCCCCGCCCCCGAACAGCAGCAGCCCCGAGCTTCCCCTCAGCGGCGGCAGCACCACCAGCGGCAGCCGCCGGAGCCGCCGCCGCAGCGGGGACGGGGAGCCCCCGGGGTCGCCGCCACCGCCAGCCGCCGTCACCTACCCGGACTGGATCGGCCAGAGTTACTCCGAGGTGATGAGCCTCAACGAGCACTCGATGCAGGCGCTGTCCTGGCGCAAGCTCTACTTGAGTCGCGCCAAGCTCAAAGCCTCCAGCCGGACCTCGGCTTTGCTCTCCGGTTTCGCCATGGTGAGCTCGGGCCTCCCTGCCCTGCCCCCTCTCCTGTCCTGGACGCTCCCTCAGCAGCCGCGACGGGGTCCACAGGGAGCAGGCTGGGCGGGCTGGGGGTGCGGGGAAGATCTGGGTGAGAGGTGTGGACGCTGGAGGGGGTCAGAGGCACTGGACCTGAGAAGAGGTGGGCGACGAGTGACATCTGGTGAGGGAGATTGGGTGTCAGACAAATGTCCAGGGTTGGGGGACTCAGGTGTCTTTGAATGGGCAACTTTGATGCAGCAAGTGGAGAGACACAGCAGGATCTTGGAAGTAGATCTGTAAGAAGACAGTCCCACGTATGTTCAGGGACAACATACGTTGTTGGAAGGAAGGACGTAAAGGGTCTGAGTGGAAACAGGTTTCAGGAGGTGGGGAGGAGGAGTCGGACCCCTGAGCTGTCTTTCTTGTGACCCCACACTTGAGGCCGAAAGGTATTGGCCAAGACCTTTTATCACCTAGTAGAGGGGATTTCCTGACACTCTTTCTCCCACTGCATTTTCCGAGAGCCTCAGCCTAGTGTTTTGAAAACTACTCTTCGCTCTCAGTGTCTTCTCCAGAAACTTACCACTGAGTCACTGGGTGTGGGGGAGGAGGGTGGGACATGTTCCCCTTGAATGGGCTTTCAGTTGATTTGGAGGCGTGGGTCAGGCACAGGTTCCTCTTCCCCTGCCGGGCTAGGCTGGAGTGAGAAGCCTCTGAAGGGTGGGGAGTGTGAGGCTGCAGGTTGGGCCGGGAAGTGGTCCTAAGGGTGCCCTAGGCCTGGAGTCTTCCACAGCAGGGCCTGCAGAACGATTGGTGGTGATCACTATGTGACACCTGCCTGTGTGAGTGAGGTCTGCCCTCCTCTCCCAAGGTCTGTAACCCGGAGCCCTCCTGCCTCCCCAGTGAGTGCGCTCAGCACTTGGCCTTGAGGGAGGAGGGAGTGTTTTCTTGGGAGTGTGTCTAGTACTCTGCCTGTGTTCTACAAACAAGTGGGCTGACCATGGAGCCTGAACTCTTCAGAAGCCCTGAGTGGGCCCAGAGCACACTGGGCCTCAGTGGAAAAGCCAGGTGATGCGGGGTGGGGCAGAGCTCACCGAGCTCACCCTTTGTTGCCTGTGTGACTTGAGACACATTTCTCTCTGCATCTTGATTTCTGAATCAGTAAATGAAGGCTGCTGCTTAGAAGTAGCTCTGACTTTAAGAATTAAATAGAGGAAGCCCTTGAGAAGGGATGAGAGGATCTGTGTTTGTGTAAGGGAGTGGCACACTAGTTTTTGCTTTAGGTCATAGGATGGAATTCTGTTCTGTCACTCCCAAATCCTTGGAGACCCGTCTCTGCCTTTGCCTGAAGCATCTCTAAGAGGAGCTGACCAATTTACCAATCACTCACCCTGTACTAGACGTTGTTTAGGTTCCCTGAACTTTCACACTAACTCCTCAACCACCTGTTGAGGTGGTTTTGCCGCAGCATTTTCCCACGGCTGTACTGCTAGTCTGCTAGAGCGGGATTTGAACCTGAGTCTGCTGGCATCCAGAACTGCGCTGGGCACTTAGGCGTTTTGTGGTGTTTGATCAGTGTCCAGCCACGGACATGTTCGGACCAGGTCTCCTAGGAAAAGAGAGAGCAGGAAAGTTAAGCAAAATAAAATTTTACAGTTTGGGGGAAGGGACTGACACCATTAGCTTTCACAGCTGTGCCCTGGGTTTAAGATGGTGGCACACCTGTTCCCCTTTTTCTTGGGGTCATAAATTCATAGCTGCCCAGGCCCCTTCCCACTCCAGGAGAAGTGAGGATCTGATGGGTGGCACTTTCCTGCCCTTTGGAGCCCTCTTTGTCCTCGAGAGGCCAGCCTCCTAATCAGACATTTCCCTTCCTCCTGCTGAAAACACTGCAGGAAGTCAGGAGTTAGGGGCAGCCAGTGGCATTGGGTGGGCCTTGGCTCACCCAGATTTGTATCTAGGGGACCTTTATTTTCCCTGGTCAGGGTGGAGAACGCTTCCTGGCTCCGCAGATGAACTCCCCGAAGTTCCTCCAACAGGGAGGGGCTGAACCCCATCACGGCCTCCATTCTGGGGAGGCAGTTACAAGAGGGTAACTGTTTGCTGTGAGTCTGGGAGAAATGGAGTGGGGGTGGACAGACAGCTCTGAGAGGCAGGCAGGTCTCTGTGTGCCCCAGCCCCTATGACAGACCCCAAACCTTGTGAGTGAGCCTCTGAGAGAAGGGGGTGCCACAGGACCCAGCACCATGGAAACAGAGTGAGCGAATTTCCTGGACTATTCTCCTTTGACCCCCGAGTCAGCACAACCAACTTCCTGCCCCCAGAGGGCTTCCTTCCTAGAGACCTGGAAAACCAGAGAGGCACTGTTGTGACCTCTGATCTCCGAGGGTGGGAGGGTTGGCAAGGCTACCAAGGTCACCTGTTCAGCAGGTGAGTTTGAGGGAGGGTCTCCCAAGAGCCTGGAGGGGATTGAGAGACTCCCTGCTTGTGGGCGGAAAGGCCTGGCCGGCTGCCCTGATGTGCTGGGGAGATAGGCTGTGGGATATCAGATAATCGGCTGTGTACTCTGGAGCCCGTTTTCTCATGTGGACAAAGGGGAGACATGCCCTGCAGTGCCATGGACTTGCCTGAAGATTCATCCAGAGTCCCGACCAGGCCCACAAGATACGGAGGAATTTTGGGGATCTGACCATATATACACCTTAGCTGGATCCTCTCTAGTCTGCAGACAAGAATCCCACTCTTGACACATTCCTAGAAACAACAGGCCCCTGCTGGGCTCAGCATCCAGACTCCAAAATCAGGGGCCCTGTGTGCAGGACATGATCTCCTGCAGGTGCTTCTTGAGCTGAGGGTACCCTTGTGGGCAGTGACTCAGGTCATCTGTGCCTCCATTTATCTCTGTGAGAGGCGGCCCCCTTGGCCCAACCCTGTGTCCTGCAGGATCATGGTGAACCCATTGGCAGTGTTGGTTTGCTGGGGAGGGCAGGCTGTAACGTTAGCCTAAGCAGAAGATAATTGGGAAGGTCAGTCTGCTGCCGTAAACAAAATGCTTTCCACGACCTGGGATCAATTATTTTTGGATTATCTCCTTCCTCGAGTTCTCTGCCCGCGAGCACCCTTTTGTTCCCAGGTTCCAGAGCTGGGTTCAGAAGTTGCTTGGAATTTTTGTGAACATCAGTTGGAGGAAAGAGCTGAAATCGTAAGGCATTGAGCCTCTGGGATATGTTCGGAGTTCAGCGGGCGTGGAGATGAGGGAGACCTTACTCTCACTGCTCACAGGGCTGATTACCAATAGTAATCGTTGCTTTTGTTTACTGGGCCCTTGCCATAGGCCAGACATTGTGCTAAGCGTTTTACTTGTACCTTCCCTTGTGATCTTCACACCACCTGGTGAGGGTAGGTGCTTGTTCCAGGTGAAGGACTTGCCCAGGGTTCCTTGGCTGGTAAGCTGCAGAGCCCTGTGACCCTGGTGTAGCCCCGTTGCTGTGGAAGAGAACTTACGTTGCTGTGGAAGAGAACTTACCGGAGTGGTAGGAGGACAGAGGTGGGAGGGTCCAGTATGACCGAGCAAAGTAAGAAGAAGGACTGTGTAGCCAGACAACTTGGATTCAAATTCCAGCTCTGCTACTTATAACCGTGAGATCCCGGGAAAGTTATTTGATGTCTCTGGGCCTTGGGGCTTCCTTACCTGTAAAATGGGGATAATAGTAGTACCTACCTCATAGGGTTGGTGTGAAGATTCTTTTTTTTTTTTTTTTTTTT